AACCCTAAAACCTTCAGAACCCTAAACCCCTAAACCCCTCAACTCTGAACCCTAAACCCCTAAACCCTAAACCCTAACACCCCTCGACTCCTGAACCCCTCAACCCTTAAACCCGAAATCTCTAAACCCCCAAACCCTTAAACCCCTCAACTCTAAACCATGAGAGGGTTCAAGGGTTTCTGTCTATTTTCAGGCTCAGGAGTCCCTCGGCTCAAGGGCTTTTGGGATCAAGGGCTTTATTAGCAGGTTTAGGGTTTGGGGTTTAGGGTAGGGGTTCTTTTAAAGGCACTACCTACAGAGGGTTTAGGGTTTAGGGTTTAGGATAGGAATCCCAAAAAAAGTTGGAAGAAGGATTAAGGACAAATAGTGCTGGGATTCCTTCTTACACCACTCTTACGGATTGAGGCTATTGGGTTTGAGTTTCCAACTTTTGGGCTTCTACTATACATAGACTTTGGGGTAGGGATTTCGGGCTGCAGGCTTTGAGCATTTAGGGTCTAGGGTTCAACAGACTGGGTGGGTTCAGGTATATAACCACATTAGATTTAGAGACTTGGATCTGGGCATACTTGTAAATAAGCTGATTTTCAGGCGTCGCCAAACTCTAGAGGCCATTCACCCTACTTCCCAAGCACCATAATCAAGCCCGACAGTGTTAAGACGTCCAAGCCCCAGGAATCAAGAACCTTATGACCCTCGAAGCCTAAACGCCTAGACCTTAATATCCTGCATCCTAGGCCCTCAAAACGAAAAGGCCAAGACCCCAAACCCCAACACTACAAGCTAAATCCCAAAACACCCGAACCCCTGAACCCTTTGATCCCCAGACCCTAAAACCCCTATAAACCCGAACTCCTAGCCCCCAAACCTCAAAACTCCCTAACCTAGACCCCAAAGGTTTAGGGTTTAGGGTTTAGCAACCTATGTTTTTAAAGACTTGTATAGGGAAAAGCATAGTAGGGAAGCCGAAAGAAGGAAGGCTTTCAGCTAAAGCCTGAAGCCACGGGGCAGGAGAAGACGGAGGAGCCGAGGAAGTCCCTCGATCCGGAGGAGAAGAAGACGTGCAGCCAAGGCCCTCTTGGAGTTGGGGTTAAGGAGTTTAGGGGCTGAGGTTTTGGGGGGGTCTTTGGGGTTTTTTTAGGGGTTTAGAGGTTTAGGGGTTTAGGTTGAGGGGTTTAGGGGTTTAGGGTTGAGGGGTTTAGTGGTTTCGGGGCTTTGGAGTTTGGGGGTTTCGGGGTTAATTGAATCAGGGGGTCTTGGGGTGTAATCAGGGGTTTAGGGGTGTCGGGTTTTACGGTTTAGGGTTACAGTTCAGACGGTTCAGGTTTTGTCGGGGTTTGTATAGCTCCATAAACGGCCTCAGCGCCCCAGAATTCATAAAGCGTCCCTACAAAACCTGAAAGTCCTGAAACCGAAACCCGAAACCCTTAAGCCCCCAAACCCTAAACCCCGAAAACCTGAAACCTAAACCCTAAACCCTCAAGCCCTAAACCCTGCAAATCCTGAAACCTAAGGACCCCAAAAGTCGCAAGCAACCGCTGCCCAACGACCTCCCACTGCGCCTACACGGTTCAGGGTTTGGATTTAGGGGTTTAGGGTTGTTGTGGGGTTTAGGCGTTTAGGGTTGTGGGGGTTAGGGTTTAGGGTTCAACCTCGAAACCCAAGCAGCATCAAAACAACACAACACCCACCCTCGACTACGCCCCAAACCCCCCAAACACCCTATCTAGGACATTTTCAGGTGGGTAGTTACCGTTGTAGGGGCCTTAAAGGAAGGTCTATATGTCTTATAGAAGCCCTATATACCCTCCCCACCCGTAGTTTCCTTTAACCCTCGACAAGTCTCAAAAGCCCGCGGAAGCCATTTGTGTACCAGGGGATGGGTTCCTGGAACGGTTTCTACTCTCGCCTGCCTCTTGGCTCCTTTGGGTGCTGAGGTCCCCAGACAGACGTTAAGATGCTGGTTTAATGTCGTGGGCTGAGGCTTGGCTTAGGATTTACCATTAACTTGTGGTGGTGCTTTGTGAGCTGTGGTCCTTTGGGTTTATAGCTATTGGCTTTTGGCTTACATGGTGTGTCCCTAAACTCTAAACCCTAGACCCCCTAAACCCTAAACCCTATAGACCCTAAACCCTAAACCCTCAGGTGTAATGATGTGCATCTGCCGTTCGAGGCAGCTTGGAAGGTCTCCTGCCGATGTTCACAGAACTAAGGAACCCATGCAGCCTCTAGCTCGGGCATTTAGGGCATTTAGACACTATATCTGCCCAATATGGAACACTAAGCATGCCGCGTTTACGTGAAGGTTCAGGGGACTTAGTGAGAAGGTTATAAGCAGGGGGGGGTACAGTTACCGGCACTTTCCCCCAATGAAGGCACCTCTAACCCGAAATGTAACTTGCTGACTCAGGCCTGGTCGTTTAAGTGCGGGATAGTGCTTAAACCCGACGCCCCTAACAGACCGAGGAAGAGCTGCAAGACCCAGTTCATCGACCATTGCCACAGTTTGCTGCCAATGTCAAATGCTCTGAGAGCTTTTTGAAACTAGGTGGCAATCCGGAAGACGTTTGAATTCGGTTCTGGTCTTGTAGCATATAGAAGTACTTATAAATCGTTTTGGTGACCTTTAAGCTTTAAGCTACGATCCAGGAAAGCCATGCGAACTTTCCTGCCACCGGAAGTCAGTCAGCGTGCAAACGATCTTCAGACTGCCTCTTGCCTGCACGCTCCCACAGCCCCTTCACTCTATGACTTGGTTGGATCAGCGCGAGCCCTGAACACCTAAACCCTAAGCACCTAAACCATGAGCTTAAACCCTCAACACCTACGTGAGGCCCAGGGGACTTAGTAAGTCGGTTATAAGTAAGTAGGGCTATTATTTTGGTAACTCATTTAGGGTACTTATAACTGTACTTATAACCTGCTACTAAGTCCCCTGGGCCTCCAAGTAAACCATGAGGAGCCCCACATGCCTAAACCCTAAACAACGACACCATCAGAAGCCGTAAAAGCCAAAACCCTAAATCCAGAGCTGCTCTTTGAAGCTCGACTGCCCCCAACTCGACAATCGAGAAGCTGCCATGGGGCAATGCTAAGCCATGGTTTGGGCTGTAGGGTTCAGAGTATTCGGGCTTTAGGGCTGTAGGGTTTTAGGGCTTTAGGGCTTCAGGGTTTGGGCATCAGGGGGCCAAATGGCTCTCCCAAAAAAGGCGCTTCTACTTTTCTCAGACCCCCCTGAAGAAACCGCTAGTCGCACTGGAACCTAGCACGACGCCCAATCAGAAGTTCGATGTTTCTGACAAGAACCCTCGTCTACCCGTCTGCATCCAAGAGTTCAGCCACCGCCTTCATGGAAAGTGTGTGTTTCACTCGATGTGCCCATTTCGATTCAAGCCACCTTCAACACCCAAGCAGATTCAAGTCCTTGCTTGCGCAGTTCCTTGCTGCCCGAAAAGCCTAAACAAAGGACGCCAATGTACATTAAGTCACGCTTTTCAAACCCAGGATGCTTGGTCAAGGTTGAAAGAGCATTGCCTCAACAAGTAGCTGCTTTTCTTGTGATTTGAGGTGTATTTTCCTCCAAAAAGGAGAGTGATCCCCTAAACTCTCCGATACTTGGTGACTTAGTGTGCAAGGTCTTCATAACTGGTGTTGAGACTTCATATGGGTCGTTTTCTAAATTTGGGTCCCCTTTAGGGTCCTTTTTATCAGGGGTGCCGTACTTTTTTGGGGGGATTTAACACGGGACCCTAATTTAGAGAACTACCCATACTGTGACCGTAGTCCCCCAACCGAGGTAAAATCTTCTAGAACCGCCCCTTAGTCCCAAGAAGAGTCGGACGACAGTTGCCTTGACCTCTGCCTGCCGTGACCTGCACATCTGACCCTAAACTGTCGAATCATCAGGTGCCGTATATTATAGCCCTACCCATGGCTACCTGAGGAATGTCGCAAAGTTGTCCTGAGCATCTCGCAGATGCAGAATGGCTGTCCGTTGGGCCTTACAAAGGAAGAGTTCTTCGCCCTTGCCGCGTATGCCTTCGATATACGACAGAAGTGCCGAAGCTTGCAACTATCATTTCGTGGTATTGAATTTGGGATTTAGGGCTTGGGTGTGGGAGGTCTGCCGCCCCTCAATCGTAGTGTCTGTCAAGCTAGGGGTAAAGCTTGGTTTTCATTGTCGCGGTCAGATCTCGCGACTTATCCTTGAGACGGGCTTCTACAAGGCTTCTTTCCTGATTTGATCACCAGTACTGGAGACCTTAAATTCCTCGTATGCTTATACCCGCACCTGAAATATTGAACAGCAAGACCCTGCACTTCCTGCGGTTTGAATGTGGTATGATGTTTGTCATTTAAAATTATTGCTCTTTTAATTGAATCTTAGCATCCAACATAGAGCTTCATAATTGGAATAGGGCCGTAAAGGCCGTAAACCCTATCAACCCAGAATCCCCTTTGAGTATGTACGGTTTTTAGGGGAAACTGTATATGAAACTCTGCAGCCATGAAGCCCCAAATGGGCCAACCCAAAAGCCCTGAAAGAACCCTTCTAGACCCTGCTGCGGACCTCAACCCCTCCAACAAAAACCTGTCTTTTTTGGGGTTCCTTGTTATGATGTCCTTCTAGAAGTGCTTAGTCCTGAAGAAGGTGGGTTTGGGGGGCTTTCAACTGTTGATAATACAAATCCTGCATTACCTTAAGGACCCTAAACTATGGGATTTATGGTAGATTCCTTAGTATGGAAACCCTTAACCCTAAGCCCGAAACCGGAAGGAGCCCGCCCGAGGTTTCCTGATGCTCCAGTCCATCAGAACTTTTACGTGCACCTGCGGAAGAGCGTGCGGCAGCGAGATAGAGGCTCTTTAGACCCTGACCTGCGATAGTTGTGGAAGGGTAAAGTTCGGTCTCCCTAGGGTTTAAGTTTGAGGGTATTAGGGGTTTGAGGGATTTAGACGGTTTAGTGTTGTAGCTTTAGGACTGTAGGGTGTAGGGTTCAATTCCGGCGGTGAGGTTTCCCAGAGGGGTCTAGTCTTATACCCTGAAATATGGAATTAGGTCCACCAGCCCATGCTACGTGCGCATTTTTGGGATGGTAGTTTCATATCTCAATACTGTCATGATCGTTGTGTTAGATCCTAAACCCTAAACCCCTAGGCTCTCATGGTTGCGACGCCCTAAGCCCTCAAGCTCCAGGGCTCTAGCGCCATCGACCCCATGACACTCCAAAAGCCCTGAACCTTGACGTACTGCTCACGAAGACCCTGAATCAGTAAGAACTAGGCTGTTGGTATATATCATAGTAGTATGTATATGTTACATGTGTGTATGTGTCTATATATATATATATTGTATATATATATATATAAATATGTATGCTTCCCCCCGCCCAAGGCTCCAGCGCACCATATATATATATATACACATATATTTATATTTATATGTATATACCTTGCATATTTGTTTGTTGATTTTGTGTATATGGACTTTCAGGATACTTGTTCCGACCGTCATGCTACACTCCCAAGAGCCACTCCGAGGAAGACTTGGGAGCTTATCTGCAGCATTGGCTGAAGGGCCTGGAAAAGCAAAGCTGCGTCGTGGAGGAGCCGATCTACTGCTACTCGCCCCGTAGGGTTCCGGGGATTTTAGGGTTCAGGGGCTTAGGGTTTTGGGGCTTATACAAGCCTAAACTTTAAACCCTAGTAGAGGATCTAGGGGATCAGGGCACGGGGTTTAATTTGAGATGCAGAAGCTTGTGGGTATAGGACTGAGCTCTCTGGAACCTACCATCCTCAACCGTCGGTGAGATGTGGGAAGTAGCCGGGTATAGCTCAAGTATGTTTACCCTAAACCTTTAAAAAAACCTTACCCAAATCCCAAACCCTAAACCGTCGTAAAGGTGAGTTTTAGCTGCGCCTGAGAGGGAGACCTTCGAGATTGGGTAGCGGAGGAGTCGGCTCAACCTGGGAACACGAGGATCTTGAGTCTTACGAAAAGCGCCCTACCCCGTGTCTATACTGTGATCAGAATAATATAGCAATACAACAGCAACAGTAGTAGTAGACGTAGTAGTAGTAGTAGTAGTAGTAGTAGTAGCAGTAGCAGCAGCAGCAGCAGCAGCAGTAGTAGTAGTAGTAGTTGTTGTTGTTGTAGCAGTAGTAGTAGTAGTAGTAGTAGTAGTAGTAGTAGTAGTAGTACAAGTAGTAGTACCAGTACTAGTACTAGTACTAGTACTAGTAGTAGTAGTAGTAGTAGTAATAATAATAATAGCAG